CCGTGGGGGCGCACGGTAAGAGCATTGCATCTTGTGGCGCCCTGGCCCGCCCACCACTTCTACCTGCTACTGTCGCACTGCGGTCATTTCTGTGCAGATGCCAAGTGTACAGCTGCTGCTTCCATGTGTGCTGTGGGGCTCTTATGTCCATCTCAGCCCCAAGCAAGGGCGGCTACTGTCTCACAGTTGGCTGACACTCCGTGTGATTGGCAGCTCTGAGGAGTCGCTCGCCTCCTGCTCCGCCTCTTCAACAGTTGCAGCGGTACCCGCCTGCAAACCAGCGCACAATTGATAATCAATTGGAGGGTACGCCTGTGGGCCTGCCGCAATAGAGTTGCTTACTTCTTCTTCGTCCATTGTCGCCTGCTGCTGCGCGGCCGCCCCCCGCTGTGCGGGCTCAGCGCCTCGCTCCTGCTGCTGCGCGGCCGCCCCCCGCTGTGCACGCTCAGCGGTCTGCTCCTGCTGCTGCGCGGCCGCCCCCCGCTGTGCGCGCTCAGCGGTCTGCTCCTGCTGCGCGGCCGCCCCCCGCTGTGCGCGCTCAGCGGTCTGCTCCTGCTGCTGCGCGGCCGCCCCCCGCTGTGCGCGCTCAGCGCCTCGCTCCTGCTGCTGCGAGGGTGGCTGCTGCTGTGCGGGCTCAGCGCTCCGGCCCTGCTGGGCCCTGCCAGGATTCACCGCTGCTTGCCGAAGGGGCGACGTGAAATCACCTGCGGCAGGGGTGTGAGTGCAGCGACTCAATGAATAGAGACAGCCCCTTCCCCTGACGGGCGAGAGGCTACTCAATTTCCTTCGAGCATTACATCAGGAGGCAGCCGCACCTGGCTCATCGTCTGCTTCACGAGATGTCGCTGGCGTGGTGCGAGTCGGGGCTACCGTGCTGGTGGGGCGCGCCGTGCCTGCAACCTTCCTTCTGGCACCCACCGCGGTCAGCGCTGCGCAGCCTGCATGCAAAGCTATCCAACCATTCAATTTAACTTATTGCAAGCATATGGCACTGCCGTGCGGACAAGCAATCGAGAGGCGAGAAGCGAGGCATGCCAGCGGGCAAAGGCAGCCCGGCTTACCATCCGTGTCGAATGCAGTGCCCGTTGCCAGCTTGATCATGACATCTGCCTGTAACTGAGAGATAACACCTTCTGCCTTCCACAGGTCTATTGCCAAAGCCAGAAACTTGCTGAAATCAATGCCTGCTTTGCCCAGCTCGCCCTTCAGCCGCGACCGGAGCGGCTGCCGGCGGCGGCGCACCGCTCAGTGAAGAAGTCCTTGAACTCCTCCCAGAACACGATGGAATGGCAAAAGAACTTGATCTCGTGGGAGTAGCCTGACTGAACGGCGATGGCGACGCGCGCCTGTGGATGTGCTTCACAAAACCTTTCCCACGAGTTGAAGCGCGACTTCAGCTGCTTAGCTTGGTTAGCTGCACCGCTCAATAGCGGCGTTGGACCTAGAGCCTTGCTGCCGGACTGGGCACCATGCTCATGTGTGCTCATGGGGGTTGAGTTCGTTGGAAA